AAAATAACAAACACGAGTATCAGATGGCTTTTTACGCCAACGACACTTACGTATCGTTGTAATTTGCATTTTCTTATTAGCGCAACCATATTTCCCTCTTGAATAGACATCTAGAAGTTGGTTTACCTGCATCATAATCAAAATTTCGCACTATCGTTTAGTTGTACAACTTATGGTTTCGAGGAAGATCAGGGGTGCCTTGTGGCCTAATACATGCAATTTATTTAGTTGGAAAGAGATGCGGGATACTTTTGTAACGGCTTTATATTATTAGGTAAAGTGGATGATTTATTTGGAATATCAATGGCTTTTGAAAATTATGCCGAAATATTTATTTTGCAGTTTTCACGCGGCTTCTCCTTTGATGGATAATATACATTTGGGAATGCATTTCATGTTAAAATTTGCATGAGGCTGCTGTATTTTGTATTAGGTTTTATCATTTAGCACGGATAGCAAAAATCAGTGAGGAGTTTCACTATTTGTAATCGTTTAATTGTATTGTGAGTGGAATACGAGCGACGATTAATTTTGCCTCCGAAAACTTTTGTTGGTAATCGGAATAAAAATCAAGATAATTGGTCTATCAATAAAATACAGACAGGGAAACGAAAAACCTACTTTAAATCGCTTGAGCTTCACAACCTCGCATACGCAGAAAAACGCTTAAATTTCAGTCGAAATAGCTCAGATAAACAGGCATAGAAAGATAAGCAGAAACATAGCTTTGGCAAAGCAAGCATCCATTCAACCGACCCATAAGTCAGTACTTGTAAATGGAATGAAGTCATCAGTTTCGCAAGTCTTCAATTAGGTCCTTTGTGAAAAGCTTACAAATCTATCAGCAACGGGTAATGAAAGTAAACCCAACTTTTGAAAAATCTAGAGTGAAACCATCACTTTATCAAAAGTGAATGATTCCTCCCCTTATCATCTAATATAAAATCAAGATGCTGGAGCGGGAAGGTTTATGTTTCGTAGGGTTTTCTTTGGCATGCATGCTGCCTGTAAACGTTAAAAGGGTATTTAATGTTACCTGTAAATAACACATATTCAGAAAAATTTTCGACCAGCTAATTCAACTGATCATTGTGAATTGTTGATAGAGGTTGGAGAACCCCATCTTACTGAAAGCTATGATTTAAGAATTACTCTGAACAATGGATTGCCGCCTTATGTCTCACATGCTCCTTCCTGGAACAATACGCGCAAAATTAGTTTAACCAGACACACACTTTATAAGGGAGAATGGGAATTTCCGCTCTCAAACAGAGGCAACCACACAAACATCTGCATCACCCATAATGGTCGTAGGCAGCTTTTCTGAGAGCAAAAGTACTAGTTTCCATAACATCTTTCACCTGCCAATCCATGCCTACTGACTTTAATTAGTTGATAGTTACAATGAATAGTCGTATGATACAGAGCATTTAAGTATGAATTGGAAAAGTAAGTATTATTTTTGATTATAAAGCCCAATTTATAATTTGATGTTTATCTAGTTACGTCAAATGTTACTTGACTCAAGCGCGATTAAATGACATATAAACAGATAATTCTGTTCTACAAATGTTTCAGTCCTTGAGTGATCGGTATTTATACAACTATCAAATTGTAAAAAACATACGTTTCAGCTAGTTATTTAGCTATCATGACCAGTGACAGTGATGCTCTTCAAAAAACGTCGCTTTGGAGAGTGAAAAAAATGTTAGCTTAAACGTAATTTTAGGCAACAGAGATGAAAATACTTCACTTAAGTATGAGTAGCTGTTTCATGTTAGAATACTTTTAAGCAAAGTGTAAATTATCCATTTAATAAAGGATAACCGCCTTCCTGATAGATGCTTATAAAGGATCTAGTAGATTTCCCAAAAGTTAAATGTTACGATTTGGGAGATGCTGAACTTTAAAATTTATAAAATCCTGTTATTATTTGAGAAGAAACTGTAAGGTGGCAAATTCTGACCAGATTTGGTTTTTAACAGTTTTCTTGATATTTGAAATAATAGTTTATTTTATTCAAAAGACCTTGGCTTTTCGTTATAATAACAGAAGTAGTTATCCTTAAAAGACCTCCGTCTCCAAGTTGATTGACAAATCATAGGTAAACGGATTGATAAGTAAACACCAAACCATAATCGTCCTCACTTAATGTGCTCTCACCACGGTCCATAGTTGCTTTCTACCAACCACTCTGTAAAACCAAAATCTTCGCCACTTTCCATAAAGGTAGTGTTTTCTAACAATATTTAAGTAGGACAGAATTTTACAGGAAGGTAATGTTATTCGACAGATTTGGAAGAGTTAGCCTATGTCTTAAGTAAACTAGTTTGTGATTAATTCGTGAACTGTGATAGCCACAAAGAATCGTTTATTGTATAAAAAATATTGCGCTGTGGTGGCAAGCGGGTCTTGGAACATTACTTAGGCTGTTTAGATAAAGAAAATCCTGTTTCCTGTTTCCATTTCTTCTATGAAATACTCTATAGGGATCCGATCCTTGCATCTACGTTACATTGATAAACGCAAGCACAAAATTGCAAAAACTTCTTCAGAGTTATTTTCTAGGTCAACTAACGATGAAATACATGCATTTCAAAATTGCTTGATGTTGGCTTAATTCTCTGCTTCGTGATGTATTCACCTTCTTGAAGTTGTTAATTCATAGTTATATCTTATCCCGATACGATATTCCCTTTATGGAAGTTGCTGTAGCTTTCATTGATGCTTTTCATTTTTTCTAATGCGTTTTTGCTCTTCTGTAACAGTAAATTTGTACGGTATAAAAATTTCCACTTCTTTACTCTTGTTCTCCTGTACCGATATTGAACGCGTTAAAGTTCTTCTTTAAATTGAATTTTCCAGTGATATGTTATGCAGTATGCAAGGAGACAACTTACCTTGAATACAGTCAGATATATAAATAGACTTTTGCGATAATTCCTAGTTCAAGTATTTGCAGTTTATGCCTCTATATCTGCGCATCGTTTGTTCGCCTTCGATTCTTCCAATTTCGTTTCCCTAGATCTAGTTGATGCCACCCAGGAGGATAATCAGTACTCATTAAAAATGATCCAACAAGGAGATCGCAATGTTATTCCTTATTTTCAACTTTTAGTCTTAATAAAAAATGCTTGTCCGCGCTGCGCCTGTAGGAGCCTAATCACTTTTACGTAAAGTCAGATCTGCAAAATACGGATTTTATAAATACTAGAAGGAAGTTCCGATTGCAAATTTTCCTGGTAAATCTGACGAATCAACAGGACCTAGTTCCGAAACTAATTAACTGAGAAACTCATATTTGATTCGGACATCTACGCAAGGAAATGCAGGGTTCTATTGTAAAAATCACTTACGTGTAAGTCAGATTACACGTTGGAGTGGTAATTTGGAATCTAAGTGAGCCTCTATATTCATTTTACGATTTTATTAAAATCTCTTGATAACTTCTGCAGATATAACGGTAAATTTTTCACAAGAGCGAATCGAAATTTCACCTCAATTTAATCAGAATTTAATTCCATTTATTTCCAGACCGCATCTTAGTGTCCGCGTCCACTCTGTTTTATGTCTTCACCTTACCTGTTCACCATGCCCTTGTTGAGGTGGTCTCGGTCAAAGATGGTATCAATCCTTTCGGTATTGCTGCTTGGCTAAGCCTAAATTGGATGCAGCCCTAAATATTCCAGGAAATTTAATCATGTACAAAGTTATTTGACTTTATGCGGCATTCAAAATTGCAAGCATGTAATTCTTTGCGACTGGATTTCAACGTCATAAATAAAGTTTTAATTGACCAAGGCCTAAACTGAGCATAAATTTAAAGGCACCAAAAATTCCTTGTTCTGGAACAAGACATTCTCTATTCACCTTATGATTTGAGTAAATAAATCGCTTTTAAGTGCAGAACACTGGATACGCGAACCATCAACACGTATTTATTCACCCATCTCACATTTCTATGCTTATTAAGGTTGATGCGACCTTGACTTCGTAAATATTGGGCAAACCTTTGGTACTTGGCCCGTCCCATGTCTGCATTTTCGAAGTATTATATATTTAGCTATCTTCGCTATTGAAAAAAAGGATGAAAATGAAGTTCCAGTTCGGTGGCATGAAATTTTTGTGTATTTTTAATCGATCTTTGTGATTAATGTGGAAATTCGTGATTTCATAACAAACTGATAGTAGAGGTGGAAGCTTTGCTTAAACTTTGCCTGGCCATTATTGCCCACTTACAGGCTTTTAGACTATATTCTAACGTCTAATCTCATCCTGCTGGCGGAAAATTGGAACATTCTTTTCTACTTCTTATTTGTTCGAGCTAATGTGCATATTTCTGAATATGACAATTTTCATTTAAAGCAAAGTAGTGTGCTAGTAATCCTGCGTTGACACACACACCAGATAATATGCTTTTATGCACGCATAACTACTTAAATCTCACAGAGTGAAATGAAATATTCCATGGATGCTCGGAGAGCATTGGGTGCACTTTAGTGGAATGCTGTAAATATTCATGCCCTCTCCGAAAGGCAGTGAAAATAACGACAGCCGCAAAATTGCATAATCATGCAAAATGATTCGCTATTTAGAGGTTTCAAAGTTGCCACTACCTCTGGTAAAACCACCGTGATATGTCAATAACCAATCAAAGAGACTGCATAATCGTCATGCCAAGGTCAGTCTATCCAAAGCCACATTGGTTAGCACATAAGAGAGCAGAGCGAGGCTTTGAAATCAACAATTTACCATCTGTGAACACCCAGATCCTACAATGGCAAAATACACCAATGAAGAACGCTATCGTCTTTTACAAAAATTTAACGATATGGACATCAACTGTGATGGTTCTCTTTCAAAGGAAGAAATCAGGCAATGCTGTGAGGAATCTAATCTTCCTCCATCCAAAGTTGAGGTAAAAATCCATATTTTTTTAATTTTAATTTCCTTTTTTTTCAATATGGTCACAGCCAGGAAAACTTAAAAGTAGTTTTCTGCTCAAGGCGGGTGCTGCTTGATTGTGGTGGAATACCCAGGCACTTTAAAAATGTGTGAAATAATTTTACGTCAAATTGAAAATTTTCATTTGTATGGGGAAATTTCACCTCCTAAAAGAGACTTAAGTCCATAAACTTGCACTGTTCTTCTTCTTCTTCAGAACTCTTGTATTTTAGCCATTTTTAACCACCCGTTACGGTCGTTCCTGCACCGTGACAAGTCAGGCAGAGATGCATGCTGGTGCAGTGGGGTCATGGCTAGTGCACGGCAATTATTGGAACTACGGTGATAGCGCTCCTAAATGGGTCAAGATGCCACTGTTAGACTTGAAGCTAGGGCAAGTGATTGAGAGGGCAACTTTCATCGTGAAAAGCCTACTTTCAAATTACTTTAGTCCCTTCTTCACTTGTGTTGTTACAGCTCTTTCTAAGTAAATGAAAATGGATTCCTGAATAGATGAATCTACAGATGTAAAACAATCAAGTTGTCATTTGGAGAGAATAATTACACTTTATAGAAATTTGATAAAATAGATTTGTATTTCATAATTCCATCTTGGTTTTTCTAATATTCACAATGTTGCACTCTAAAATCCTAATTGGAGCCGAACGTTCTGACCAACTGTTTCCAATACTAGGAATTTATCAATCTTTTCGACAATAACGGGGATAGTCGCGTTACGCTTGACGAATACGAGCGTGCCTTAGGTTTGAAGGAGGTACCACCGACCACGTAAGTATGTATATCGTTAATACGATATTTATGCATGAGAATAATTTTGAATAACAATGGCAGCATACTCCTGGAAGATGACGTACTTTTAGCGTTCATAAGGTGATCTGTGAATTATCGTGGCACAAATGTGATGGCCCATTAGGCAGGTTATTCGGCAACAACACTGCATGGCGCTTAACTATTACACGTCACAACTTTTCCAAGTAATCCTGTTGTACTCCTGATAGGTTCTCGAAATGCTTTGATATTGTAACCGTGAGACTAAAAGTGGTATGCTGTTGCCAGCTAACAAACGTGATTTAGAACAGTTGACTGATATAGATTATTTGCTTATTGTCCGATAACAAAGTGCTGAACACGAGGGGAACTCATATTGCTGTCCATTGCATTAAGTTGACTTCAGCAAAAATTTCAGAATCTAATTCAGTAAAGAGTGTGGATTTTGTACTTGAATTGTAGACTCTGCTTATTCACACATCGATTATACATAATTTAGGATTGAAGAGTGGAAAGCTGCCTTTGAAGAGATGGACGTAGACAAATCCGGAAAATTGACAGTTGATGAGTTGTATGAAGGCTTGCGCAGGATAGGATGCAAAATGCCAAAACAGGAAGTTGTACAAATCGTCCACTCCGCTGATAAAGACGGTGATCAAAGTCTAACCTACAAAGAATTTATTAGCCTGATGAGACTATGAAACGTGTATGATTTTCTGCTATGAGTCTACTTTGTTAATAAATTTTTGCCATTTTTCCCTCTAAAAATCTGTTTCTTTAATTGTCGAAATAGCTTGGCATATTTTGGCCTTTACCAATCCTGCAGCATTACCACCTGTATGACCCTGAAAAGGACGTTAGAAACTGATGTGTAATAAAATGGATAGAATCAGTCGTATAAAAGGCCTATCTTAGTGTTAATTCCATTGTCGGTAGACTGGACGATATCTGAAGCTTGAAAAGCCATAAACTCAGCCCACAAGTAATGTTTTGCTTCGGTAATTACGTGGTAGATTAAATAGTGTCCAATAATCTACAGAAAGGCTCAATCACTTAAGTATACGAATTGTTACTAGCTTTCCATAAACTCTACGACGTAATACCATACCTGAATCGGTAGATGACTGAATTGTCAGCTATCAGATATTGGCTGCTTACAAATACTCTAAGTGCTTTGAAATTCTTATTTCCATTTTAAATTGCTTTAGTTAAGCTTTCCATTTCATTCAAACAGTTTAGAGTCAAAGGAGTCGAAAAAAGTGCACATTATGTTCTGTCGTTTTGACTTTCACGTGCACCACACCAAGTCGCAATCGGCACTCGGCTAGGCGTAACTTGCGTGCGTGGGGCACGGAGTCGTCGACGCTGATCCATAAGGCATGTGAAACATTAAATTGTGGGAAAATTAAATCAGACATAGTTGCCAGTGTGCTCTGGGTTGCGCAATTCACCGAGGACCACTACTTTTTTCATCTAGTAATGTGAAAACATCAAAGGGTGTTCTGCACAGTAGTTGGTTTTATTTGTAAGTGGGCAAAATATCTATTCCGCCTAGGCCGCATAACTTTCTCTCCCAAAGTACAAGATTTTACTACTAATTAATGTTGGAATATATTTTTTTCTGTTTAATTTTATGTTGGATGAAGATGTCAGCTGCAGACTAAGCCCTGTCACTGTTGTAGCTTAATCCTTTGAGGCTATCAAATAACATGTATTTAACCGCTTTTGCCCACTTTAAAGAAATTCAGGGAGATTTTTGGATCATCTACCAAGAGTGATACGTAACAAATTCATTTACCAAAGTCCACTTACAATATTATTATTACTAATTGGTGAAATGTAGAAATTTAAACAAATAAAGAGTCAGTTTTCTTGAATAAGTAAAAGGCACGGGTTATGGCTGTTCTTTCTTTTACAAATCACTGTGTCATTGTTTAATTGAAAGAGCCTATTAACTCGCAGCAGTATTCCGAGGCGAGCAAAAGTAATCCTATTGTGTCTTATAAGCAATTTAAAAATTATGCGAAAACCATCGTAATGTAGTGATTTGAGGGAAACTCTACCAAAAGCAGGGACTTTATTGGTGCCTGGCACAGTGTATGGAACCAATGACAGGAATCTACAGGGAGTAGAAGTCGAAATTGGCATAGAGCAGAGATACTAAGCACAATGGTGCTTTAAGAACGGTATTTGACTAAACTTAATTGGTTTTGATCGACTGACTAAAAATGACTCTAGAATTTGTCTCAAGTATCAAAATCAAACATTCGCCTGCGCATTTCAATGCTAAAAGATTAAACTAAAGTGAACGAAATAAATTGAGAAATGTAGTACAAAAATTGGGAATTCATTCTAACTACTGCGCGATGTCCTATTTACATGCGATTGTGTTCCTACGATATTACGATTAATCCACACCTCGATAACACAAATCCTATAACATCCATTTCCTATAACCTTCTTTTTGGGACAAAAGGACCTCTGCGAATGTGCTGAGTGTCCAATAGAAATAAGCGCAAATAGGTAAGGCAAGTTGGTTAAAAATTCACTGAGATAAATAAAATCTTGATTTTAGGGTCAATATCACCGACAGCCACAAGTCTCGACAATCATGTCCTCGTAGACTTGCAGAACGACCTCGTCGCTGTCGAAGAAGAGAATAGACTGGGGACTGAAGGTGACAGGGGTGCAACAGGGCGGTTTGACTTGGGGTGGGGCCACGCCCAAGTTGTACATGAGGTGGATGATGATCGCGTGGTTGGTAGTGTTGAAATGGGCTGAAAGGGGGAAGGGACAGTAGCCGTAGCAGTAGCCAGCGTTGTAGGCAGGCGGAGCAATCACCCAACGCGACCAACCAACTGCATTAAAGTTAACCACGAGGTCACGCCGTTGGCATGTTGAGGCGACGTATCGCTGGTTCATGAGATATCCCGAATTGCGCTTTTCCCGATTATTTGTCCAACTTTTGCTTTTAAGACGTGTTCGTCGACGCTTTTTGCGATTTTCACCAATTGGTTTAACCTGCAAAGAATACTACTAATGTTCCATAAGTAAATCACAAAAAGGAAAATGCATCAAGCTTACAAAACTGAAGAGCAATTCCAC